GCCGGGGGGGCCGGGGGGGGCCGCGGGGAGACCCCCCCGCTGCCGCAGCCCCCTGAGGAGAGCGGGGCCGCTGTCCGGGCAGGGCAAGGACAAGGACAGGATGAAGGAGGGCAAGGACAAGGACGCCCGCTACACCAACGGGCACCTCTTCACCACCATCTCCGTGTCGGGCATGACCATGTGCTTCGCCTGCAACAAGAGCATCACGGCCAAGGAGGCCCTCGTGTGTCCCAGTGAGTGCAGGGGAGAGGGGGACACGGGGGGGGGGTGTCAGGGGGTAAATTACCAGGGGGGGTTTGACGGGGGGGGATTGATAAGGGTGGGTTTGCCAGGGTGGGATTGCCAGGGGGAGAATCGCCGGGGTGGGTTTCGTGGGGTGGGTTTTTTTTCAGGGTGGAATTGCCAGGGTGGCTTTGCCAGGGCAAAATTCCCAGGGTGGTGGGTTTGATGGGGTCGGGGTTTTTTTTTCAGGGTGGGATTGCCAGGGTGGAATTTCCAGGGCAAAATTCCCAGGGTGGGTTTGATGGGGTCGGGTTTTTTTCAGGCTGGAATTGGCAGGATGGAATTGCTGGGGTGGCTTTGCCGGGATGGCTTTCCCTGGGCTGGGTGTGCCAGGGGTGGCATTTCCAGGGTGGCTTTTCCAGGCTGGAATTGCCGGGGTGGCTTTGCCGTGGCAGCTCTGCCAAGGCGGCTTTTCCCGGGATGGCATCGCCAGGGTGGATTTGCTGCAGTGGCATCGCCAGGGTGGCTTTTCCTGGGATGGCTTTGCCGCAGTGGCTTTTCCCAGGGCAGCTTTCTCCAGGCTGGAATGGCTTTTCCTGGGGTGCCTTTGCCATGGCGGCTGTGCCGGGGTGGATTTGCCGCAGTGGCTCTTTCCGGGGCGGCTTTTCCGGGGCGGAATTGCTGGGGTGGCTCTGCCAGATGGGTTTTGCCGCAGTGGCTATCCCGGGATGACTCCTCCAAGGGTGGCTGTGCCGGGGGTGGATGTGCCAAAATGGGACTGCCGGGGTGGATTTGCCACAGCAGCTTTTCCCAGGATGACTTTGCCAGGGTGGGTTTGCCAGGGTGGATTTGCCAAGATCATTTTTCCCAGGATGGCTTTTTCCAGGATGGTTTTTTCCAAGATGGATTTTCCAAGATGGATTTGCCACAGTAACTTTCCCAGGGTGGCTTTTCCAGGGTGGATTTGCCACAGTAGCTTTCCCAGGGTGTCTTTGCCAGGACGATTTTTCCAGGATGGCTTTCCCAGGGTGTCTTTCCCAGGGTGGCTTTCCCAGGATGGTTTTCCCAGGATGGCTTTCCCAGGGTGGCTTTCCCAGGATGGCTTTCCCAGGATGGCTTTCCCAGGGTGGCTTTCCCAGGGTGTCTTTTCCAAACTGGCTTGTCCGTGGTGGCTTTGCCGGGTGGGCCCCACAATCCCCATTCCCGTAGCCCGGCTCCTGCCTGGATTTGTGCCGTGGAGCAGGCAGGGAGGGAGGAAGGGGGCAGTTTCCCCTGCCTGGCACATCCCAGATCCCCGGGCTGGGGGCTCTGTGTCCCCCCGTGGTGTCCCAGCTGTCCCCCGGCAGCTGCAGCTCCGGGTGCCGTCCCCACCCACGACATTCCCACCACATCTGCTCCCGTCGCTCCGGCGGCTCTGCCGGGCTCAGAGGAGGGAGGGGGTGGCAGGAGGGTTTCCCCCTCCCCCAGGGTCTTTGTCACCTCCCCGTGTCCCCCCCCAGCCTGCAACGTCACCATCCACAACCGCTGCAAGGACACGCTGCCCAACTGCACCAAGGTGAAGCAGAAGGTGAGCGCGGGGGGAGCGGGCTGGGAGGGCCTGGACACTCCAGGGGGGATCTGGGGTGGGAACGGGGGGTTTGGGGACACAGGGGGACGGTGACACCTCCCCTCTGCCCCCCCTGCAGCAGCAGAAGGCGGCACTGCTGAAGAACAGCTCGGCCCTGCAGTCGGTGTCGCTGCGCAACAAGAGTGAGTGGGGGCCCTTCCCAACCTTCCTAAACCTTTCCAAACCTCCCCAACCTCCCCAAACCTTCCCAAACCTTCCCAAACCTTCCCAAACCTTCCCAACCTCCCCAAACCTCCCCAGCCTTCCCAAACCTTCCCTCCCAACCTCTCCAAACCTTCCCAACCTTCCCAAACCTTCCCAACCTCCCCAAACCTTCCCAAACCT